ACGACTTCAAAAATGTTGTTAAAAAGTTATTTCAAACTCAATAAATTAAAAATACAAAACAAATATATACACATATTATTTAAGAAAAAAACGTATAAACTTAGGGTTTATCTTTGATAAACAAACAAAGTATGTTTTAATCAAAACACTTTTTAATGAAGTTTTTTTTGAATTCTTAACAATTAATAACGTACAAAACAAAAGCAAACTAACAAGAATGTTTGCAATTTAAATAAAACTAAAAAGGTTTTGTTAACTTCATTGCCAAGGTTAATACTAAAACTCCATTTACAAAATTCAGCTAAGAGTTGTTTAGTTTTTTGAAGTAGTGTCAACATCAATTAAAGGAGTTGTACTTGGCTCATCTGTTATTTGAGTGACATCTTGCAGAGGTTCTGATGCAAACGTAACTTGATCATTTTTGTTTGCATCTACATTTATAATTGTAGAAAACTCAATATCAGAGGAGGAAGAAGTTGATGCAAGTTGTTCAGTTTCATTTAAAACTAAAGTGGTAACTTTTGCAACATCAAGTGCAGAATTCGAGATCAATTCACCAACATGAGTGGTGACTAATGGAGAATCAGTTACAAAAATTTCAGTTTTATTCACATCAGCAATATTAGACATAAGCGAATGAGTTGCAGGATTTGAGGTTACATCATTAAACATTTGAGTAGCTAATAATGGAGCTTTGCTGGCAGTTGTTAGTTGTTCAGTTTCTTTCATTACTGAAGCAGTAAGTTTTGATACATCTGTTATAGAACTTAAAGAAAAGCTTTCTAACATATTATTGGTTGTTTGTGGAGTATCAGTTGCAAGCGCGAGTATATCAGTTTTGTTTGCAACTGTATCAATTATTGGAGGTAATTCAGTTGCAGAAGTTAAAGCTTGTGGAGTTTCGCTTTGCTGAGATTCAGTAGCAATGGAAAGTATAGATTTGGTGAGAGTTGCAGTATTTAAAGTTTGGGGTGATGCAACAGTAGCAGCTAATTGCAAATCAGTAACTTGCAATGAAGATACTTGACACAAAGTCGAGCTTTTTAAACATGTTTTGATGGTGTTATCCCAAGCTAATGAAGAAGGGCAACTTAGTGATAATTTTTGATCATTGCTGCATATAAAGAATTTATTACAGTTGTTTGGATCGGGGTAGTATTTGCCGTTGTCACAAGTTGTTGAAGCTGTAAAATAAAATACAAAATATTCAAAAAGTTGACCCACAAAAAAACAAAACACAGTGAAAAACGATGACACAACGATCGTTTTATAAAAAGCTTACATCTTTAAATGTTTGAAAAAATAAATTTATTGAAAAACTGTGATTATGATTAATAATGATAAACTATGATAATTTCAAAAACATTAAAGTTTTTTTTAGTTTTTTAATTTGTATTTATTTATTTTAACTCGTTAAAAATTTAATACATTACATTTATATAAATAAATGAATGAAAAAAAAATTACCTTGAGGCAGCGGTATAGCTTCACTTAGTATGACAGTGCATAGTAAAACAAAACTGTTCCATGAAAGACTCATTTTTTATTAACGTGTTACTAGTTTCTACAGATTTAGAATTTAATAAAATGTTCAGATTTATTTTCTATTTAAGATCTTTTTTGCAATAATTTACTTGCGTCAGTAACTTACTTTTAGCCACCAGAATTTTAATTTATATTGTTTGCAAAAGAAGACAATTCATTACAACTTGGTAATGGTTACAAATAATTAGCAATTACGTGGTATTAAACTAATTGTTTTAGATCAAAAATGAAACATTCAAACAAATCATTAATTGGCCATTGTGTTAATTAATACTTTGTTAATTAAAATAAACCATCAAAAGAAAGCCATAAGGGCTAGCATTTTTGTAAAACCAGAATATTACGTTTAACAATACATTCAATGGGATTGATTATTATTAACCTTCATTATACAAATAATAATTGATAAGGATGTTTATACCTTCTTTAGTTATGGTCAAACCCGCACTTTTTCTAATCTACTTACAGCATCAACGTTACCCACATTTTCTTTATAATTTTTGTAATTTAATTTCAGTAAGTAACCAGAGGGAATGCGGGCAACAAAAATTTTTAATTTTTTTTTATTGATTTATAGGGGAATATGAATTTTATTTATTTATTTAAATTTTCATTTGCTTATTTGAGACTAATCTTTCGCTGGTGATAAGTGAATAAACAATTCTTTAAACAAACTAAGTGATAGGGAATTATTTAAAAAAGTTATATATAAACCTAATCTATTAGTTTAAACGTGTGTAAAATGAAGCTCATTTTTTTTTTAAATACTTGGCCATATAAAACCTTTTCAAACTCGAGAGAAGTGCTATGAAGAAGAAAGGCGCAATTTTTTTTTTTACTAGGGATGGCTCTTTTACTTACTTTTTTTTACTTACTTTTTTTTACACGAGTAAGTTAATTTTTATCAAAAAGTAATTTACATAAGTAATTTTAAAAGTTTTATGTAAATTTACATTTCCTTATAAGTAATTAATTTTTTGAAACGACTTTTACTTCATAAGGTAAGTTTTTTTACTTTCAAAAGTAAGTTGTGTAAAAGAAGATTACATCAAAAAGTAATTTACTTTTTACAAGTAAAAGTCACATGAAAAAGTTGCTTACTTCTACATTTAAAACTTAATTATTTTTGAAAATTACATTACATAATGTGAAAGTTCCTTAATTTATAAATTATATTTACCTATAAAAGTAACGAATTAAAAAAAAATTATATTAAAAAAAAACTTACATATGAAAGTAAATTTCATAAAAATAATATGCTACCAAATGTAAATTAAATCTACAAATAAAATCATATTTTTTAAGTAGGATTGTTTTATTTTAAAAGTAATAACAAATCTTTATTCAAAATAAATTATATAAAGTAAAGTTTAAATTATATAAGCTTAAATTCAGAGGCGATTTTACGGTGTGTTTGTGTGTGTGTGTATGGGAGGAAGAGGGTGTACCCCCCCCCCAACCAAAATGGTTATTTTTAAATTACAGTCGTTTTTTTACGAATTCAGTCGGCTAGTCGGCTATTTGACACAATTCAGTCGGTTAAATTTTCGTTTTGAGGACCTTTTTTTTTTTTTAATTAGAAGTTTGTCGGTACTTTTTGAGGCTTCAACCCCTTCCCCCCTTTCTTATTTTTTTATTTGTAGAATCGCCTCGAGGCCATTCTACATGCATGCTTACATTTTATATAATTTGTAAAGTAAATTAAAAGTAATTTACATAATGTATGTAAGTAAATTTACTTAAATTTTAGAACAACATTGACTGGAAGTAATGCAAAAAAGTAAAACTTTAAGTCACTAACATTTAGTTTGCCACAACATTTGATTTGAGCGGTTTTATTTATTTCTTCCCTGTTAAGTTTGAAAATATCAATAATAGGTTTCTACTCATTATTAAAAACCTCTCTAGGGCCGGTCCGTGATAGTTTTAACTGTAATAACCATTCTCTGAATCAAACCGTCTCAAAAATATTCACTCTCTGACCAACCATTCGATAGGTCTGGAATTCAGATAAATGCTTAAACCTAGCAGTGAGAAGACGCATATACCCATGGGAGATTCAGAAAAGGTAGACTCTTTGAAAGGCATAATTGGAATAATTTTTAGTTTTTTTTTACAGTTTTTTTGCGTAAAAGTTTTTATTATTTAAAAACTAAGGAGGGAAAGTTTAAACCAGTTCTGCATTATAGCGACTACAACCCCATGTCCTGCAGATTTTGGAGCTCTGAAATTTTTAAAAGGATGCTTTACTTTTGTAAGGTTTTTTCGCCACTTTAATAAGAAAAATGGACACCTGTTCAAAAGTGTCCGCAGACTCTGCAAGTTTTTAGTACTAGTTTTTTACGGTATTTTATGGGCGTGAAAAGTTTAGAACCATTTATGTAAATATTTTTATCTGCGCGTAGTATCAGTGGCCTATTTACAACAAGGCCAGTGTAAGCAACATTTGCTGTCCCTCAAGCAAATAGGCCCAGGACCGCAAGGCTTAGGAGCCTCAAGATATATTTAAAGAGTTTAAGGACATCAAATTTGAATTTCTTAATTAGGTTTTGTAATGTCCACATCATTTCCAAAAAAAAATTACTCCTAGCGCCCTTACTCTGATAGTAAGTCAATGATTTTTCACTTTATTTGATAAATAAAGTGAAAAATAATTTACTGCTGTTCCTAAGTCTTTTTGAGCGTAACTTGTTTATTAACCTCGGCTATTTTCCTTTCTTTTGTAATTTGGAGACTTACTTCCTAAAGTTAGCGAAAAAATCTCAAATTCTTGATTAAAAATGTTATTTTTTAAAGAAGCAAACAGCTAGATGCAGAAGAGCTCTCAATTTTGGTTTTGTTTGAACAATATGTACCTGAACGAGGTTTGTAACAATTTTTATAGTGTTTTGATACGCGCTTCTTGTGAATCAGCTTGGTAAGTCACCTCGCTGTTCGAGCCCCCGTAACTCTTGATATTTATATGTGATAGAGGAAACCTAGAAAAGGAAAATATTTTGCGCAACCTAAAGTTAGCGTCTAAATATTATATTTAAAGCAACTAATTCAGCAACTAAATCAATCAAAAAAACAGAATATTTAGCATTATTTGGAACATAGAACCCATTTGAACCCAGATCAGGCCCGTAGGAACGAAAATTATATTAGGGGGGGGGGCAATACTACTGGGTAGGTCAAACAGTCGTCGGTCAAAATTTTTAGTCAAAGGAATATTTCCGGAAAAACGGAAAACAAAGTTTGTCCTTTTTATTCTTTTTTTTTTTTTTTTTTTTTCTTAATTTGTAATCATTTGCATTTTTCTAAAAACAAACTTAAAAATTATTTATTTGAAAAATTATTGTGGGGGGTGGGGGTGGAAGGGGACGGGGAGGGGGCAAATACTCTGGTTGCTACGAACTTGTACATAAAAAACTCACTTTTTACTAAACTTAGTAATAATATTTTAGTCAACCCCGTTGACGGTATATAGTTATAGACGGTATAGAGGTTGTCCTAAACTTAACAAGTACCGAATTCCTTTCAAAAGTATTAAACACGCTTAATTTGAATGGGGTAAATGTTAATTAAATAACATAAATTATTCTCTATAATTAATAAATTAGTCATGTAAAGATTAAACTAAATTTATCATGTAAATTTTTTTATTTTATTTTTTTAAGTTTTGTTCAAGGTTTTTGATGTTGTTGTTGTTGTTATTGTGAATGGACATAAAAATTTTTTTATTTAATGGTGAAGCTAAAAGGTGTTTAGCTTTGGCATTACCTTCGCAATGATTGTATAATATTAATGTATATAAGTATATATACATACAATGTACGTATACATACAAATCAATGTATGTAGAATACATTCATTGATTTGTACACACATACATTGTATGTGTGTACAAATCATTGTATGTACATACATACATGCATAAATAATTGCATGCATACAATGTATGTATGTATTTATGTACGTATATATGTATGTACATACAATGATTTGTACCCACATACAATGTATGTGTGTATGTATGTATGTATGTATGTATGTATGTATGTATGTATGTATGTATGTATGTATGTATGTATGTATGTATGTATGTATGTATGTATGTATGTATGTATGTATGTATGTATGTATGTATGATACATACATACATACATACATACATACATACATACATACATACATACATACATACATACACACATACATACATACATACATACATACATACATACATACATACATACATACATACATACATACATACATACATACATACATACATACATACATACATACATACATACATACATACATACATACATACATGCATACATACATACATTTACATATTTTTTTTTTTATTTTTTTTTAGCATTTTTTTAATTTTTTTTTTAGTATTGTTTTAATTTTTTTTTTAACTTTTTTTTAATTTTTTTTTAATTAACTTTTTTTTTGCATAAATTTTGAAATATTTTTTTCTTTATTCAAGTATATTTTTAGTATATGACCATTAAAGGCATAATTAGATGTATAAACACCAATTTAATATAAATTTTTAATAACAAAGTTAAACTAGCTTTATATGTAGGCATATTGTATGGAAATGTTTATTTTTTTGCTTAGTTGTACAAGCAACTGTGATACTCTCATTATATATAGAAACTATTCTTATCTTATGAGAACGTTACGATTTTAATTTTGATAATGTAAATATATTAGTATATAATACCGTGCAAATTTAATATCAGACTTCAAATGCTCAAAAAAATAAGCAATCTATCAAGATTTACTTTTACTTTTTTTAACATTTGTATATTATGTAGTATTTTTGTCTCACATTGTTTGTTATATTTGTCAAAATTATATATATCACTAGTAAGCCCTTATTAATATATATCTCTAGTAGGCCCTTTAAAAAAAGCCTTATACTCAGGGTTGGCAAAAACCCGGGTTTTTTAAAAAAACCCGGCCCAGTGGGTTATTTTGGGTAATTTTGGGTTTTATTGGGTAAATTTGGGTTTTTTTGGGTTTTATTTTTATTTCGTCTTTTTTGGGTTTTATTTTTATTTTTTTTTTGTAATGATATTGAAAATGAGTTTCATTTTCTACTTTAACTTTATTTAAAATATATTTTATATATTGTTATTTAATGATTTATAACAAGAATTTTTCAAATTATTTTGAAAAAGATTTTTAATTATAATTTAAAACTGTAAGAAAAAAAAAGTTTTCACATTAAATCTATATGTATTGATTCATTTTAAATTTAAAGTGTTAACCTATATAACTAAAAATGTCAATGAGAAATGGGAAAAAGAAGGCTAGAGAATGGGAGGTAGTAACTGAAGTTTCAATTAAACTTTGAACAAACTTGTTTCTCCGCACAACGGCCTTGTTTATAAAGATTTGAGTTGAGTTGTTAAGGGAGTTGAAACCACAATAACGTAGTCTCCTCGACTGTAGTGGGCTTCTCTGGCCACTACTACTCATTCACCTTGGTAGATGAATAACATAAAAGATTAAAAAATCTCAATCGATAAAAATATTTGAATAAAAATTGTAATAATGTATTTCCAAATAATGATTTAAATATTAGTAATCCTGCTCTGATAGCTAATATTGTTGGTTGTAATAGTTAATAATAATTTAGTTAATAATAATAGTTAATAATTATTTTAGTTAATAATATTATAGTTATAATGTTAAAGTTGGTTGTAATAGTCCATAAACTTATTAAATATCTTTAAAAAAACCCAATAAAACCCAGATTTCCCCAGGTTTTATTGGGTTTTTTCAGGGGGGTTTTATTGGGCGGGTTTTTTAATGCCAACCCTGCTAATACTGAACTTAATTTCAAGGAAATTAAGTTGATATTGACATTAGTATCGCTTAAAAGTATATATCGCTAGTAGGCCCTGTTTAAAAAAAGTCCTATACTGAAATTAATTTCAAAATTTAAAAATTTTGAATTAATATTTACAGAATTTCCCAGATCAACTGATTTATTTTTTTGTAATTTATTTTCTATCTGCATTTTTTTCCTAATTATATAATTTATTTATCTAGACATTTTCATATAGCTTTATCTCAGAACACTTGCAAAGTTCTTTAACATGCTTTGTTTTTCAAGTTCAATTTCTAGACATCTTATGCCAAAAGAAATGTTTAACTTTTTCCATTTTGCTAATTTGGTTCAGAGGTTTAAATAAATGGGTGACTAAGGCTTTATTTCCGCCCCCTATATGGAGTGCTTAATCATAATTGATTATATATATATATATATATATATATATATATATATATATATATATATATATATATATATATATATATATATATATAAATATATATATATATATATATATATATATATATATATATATATATATATATATATATATATATAAAGTTTTGTTATAAAGGAAAAAGCTTGTTACTGCTAAAAATCAAAATAATTATTCAAGGACACTATTTATAGTTTCACTATTGGGGTGATATATATATATATTTAAAATATATTTATATATATATATGTGTGTATATATATATATATATATATATATATATATATATATATATATATATATATATATATATATATATATATATATATATATATATATATATATATATATATATATAAAATAAAGACACACATAATACCTTGTAAACATCATTTACAGAACATTTACAGAATTTCCCAGATCACCTTCACCTGATGATTCATAATTTATTTATTTGTAATTGTGCTTAATCATAATTGATTATATGTATATATATATATATATATATATATATATATATATATATATATATATATATATATATATATATATATATATATATATATATATATATATATATATATATATACTTACTAAAGCGTGTTTTGATAAGCATTTGCTCACTTTTTTTGCTTACCTTAAGCTATACCGTTTTTTCGAAAAAGAAGAAAAAACAAAGAATGATGAATGAAACGATTGCTTCCTCATCCCAAACCTTAGTGGATGTAGCAGCACTCCACTGCGAGTCAGGCTATTTGTCAGTCGATGTATGTACTGAAGCCTCCAGCAGCAGGTTATTTCAGTATGATGTCAGATTGCTTGCCTTAGTACGCAATACTATTTGTATATAATATATATATATATATATATATATATATATATATATATATATATATATATATATATATATATATATATATATATATATATATATATTTATTAGGGTGTCCCAAAAAACAACATTTTTGAAAATAATCTGCTCTCACCCCCTAAATGTGTTCTATCTAATGCAAAAACACTAGGTTTAAATTTTTTTTGATTAAAAATATTTTAAAGGGTTCCTCAAGACCCTCGAATATTTAATGGGTCCCTAATATTTTCGAAAAAAAAGTTTTTCAAAAATATGTCAACCTGGTACTCAAATGAAGCGAAATTATATAAAAATTTTAAAAATAATATTCATTTCAAAAATAATATTCAAATATTATTTTTGAAATATTTATATATTTTCGCTTCATTTGAGTACCAAGTTGACATATTTTTGAAAAACTTTTTTTTCGAAAATATAAGGGACCCATTAAATAATCGAGGGCTTTGAGGGACCCCTTAAAATATTTTTTATTCAAAAAAAAATTAAACCTAGTGTTTTTGTATTAGATAGAACACATTTAGGAGGTCAGAGCAGATTATTTTCAAAAATGTTGTTTTTTGGGACATTCTAATATATATATATATATATATATATATATATATATATATATATATATATATATATATATATATATATATATATATATATATATATATATATATATATATATATATATATATATATATATATATATATATATATATAAATATATATATATATATATATACATATATATATATATATATATATATATATATATATATATATATATATATATATATATATATATATATATATATATATATATATATATATATATATATATATATATATATATATATATAATACATATATATATATATATATATATATATATATATATATTTAATTTTATTTGCATTCACTCCTAACAAGGCTGCAAGCAACCATTATTAGGTTGGGAGTTACTAGGAAAAAAAAGAACAGAGTTATAGAGCAAGGAAACAGTTGACAGAAGACTTGAAAAGTTGAAGGTTGTATGAGTCAGGAAAACATGAAGATGGGAGAGAGTTCCAAAGGATTGAAGTGCGGGGAAAAAAACTAGATGAATAAAAGTTTTTAAAGCATGCAGGGACAGATGCAGTAAACAAATGAGACTTAGCTGAATGATGAGTAAAATGAGAATGAATTTTAGTTGATGGAACTAGAGATGATAACTCCTTTGAGCAGTGACCATGATAGTATTTGTAGAAAAGAGAAAGAGATGCAACTTTACGACGATGGGAAAGAGGCTCAAGCTTAGCAGATAGTCCAGGTCCAACAACATTTACAATGCGTTTTTGGAGCTTGTCAAGAAGTGAATCTTTAGAAGAACCAGCCCAAATAGACAATAGTATTCCATACAGGGAATAAGAGATTTGTAGAGGTAGAGAATGGAATCAGAAGTAAGGAAATGGCGAGCACGATTTAAAGAGAAGCAACCTTAGCAGAAGCTAATTTAGCAATCGATTGTATATATGGTTTCCATGAAAGGTCAGTAGTAAGCGATAATCCAAGAAGACGTAAAGAGGAAGACTCAGTAAGAGGATTGCCATTCATTAATATAGGAATGTTGACCATATTACGGTAGTTGTTTGCAGTAAGCAACTGGGTTTTTTTAGAGTTGAAATTCACAAGCCGCTGTGAACCCCAATCTATTACTGAAGTGAGATCGAATTCAATATCAGCTGCTTGTTCTAGGCGATCGAAAAGAGAGGACTTTTTGTCAAGGCAGGAGTATAAAGTTGAGTCATCAGCAAAAAGAGCTACTTTAGATGAAATGTTGTCAGGAAGATCGTTTATGTAGATAAGAAACAAAACAGGGCCCAGGATGGAACCTTGGGGAACCCCAGAAGTTACTGGAAATAAAGAAGAGTGTTGGCCTTCAAGGATGACTTTAATAAACCGGTTAGAAAGAAATGATTTGATAATCTCAAAAACTTTCTCAGAAACACCATATGAAGCAAGCTTATGGAGAAGACCAGCATGCCAAACTTTGTCGAAAGCTTTAGATATGTCGAGAGCAATAGCCCTAGCCTCACCGCCTCCATCTAATGCACGATAAAATCTTTCAGTTACAGCAGTTAGCAAGTCGGCCGTAGAGCGAGAGGATCGAAAACCCTATTGATTGTCTGACAGCAGTTTATTTGACTCAAGATGAGATGTGAGGAATTTGTTCAAAGACTCAAAGACCTTGCTAATAACAGAAAGAAGACTGATCAGACGATAATTGGAGGGGTCAGAATTTTCTCCAGAGTTTTTGAATATTGGAACCACAGATGCCATTTTCCAACAAGCAAGAAAACAAGACTCAGTCAAACACTTGTTAAATAGTTTAGAGAGAATTGAAGAAAGTTCTGGAGAACAATTCTGCAAGACAGGAATGTTGTCTGGACCACAAGCTGTAGACGAGTTTAATTGAGATATGACTTTAGCAACAGAAGCCGGAGTGATTTGAATGTCTAACAATGGGTCAACCTGTTTGACTGGAATGGAAGGAAGAAAATGTCCATTAGATTCAAGAGTGGAATTAGAAGAAAAGTTCTTTGCAAATAGTTCTGCTTTATCCTTGGGAGAGGTAATAAGATCAGTCCCATGAATGAGAGATGGAATGTTAGATCTACCTTTGTTAATAATGCTGTTGAAGATTTTCCAAAAGTCTTTAGAGCCTAACTTTTGTGATAAGATGCGAGATTTAGTGAACTGAGAATAATGGAGTTTAGCATCAGAAAGCACCTTTTTACATTGATTTCTTGCAATGATAAATAGCCGTTTGTTCTCAAGAGTTCTTTTGAAAAAGATGAAAAAAATGATTACGATTGGATATAGCAGCCGCACAAGAAGGAGAAAACCATGGAGTAGAATGAGGCTTGACTTGAAATCGACAAGAAGGAATAAAAGCTTCCAATCCAGTCGAATCCAGGAGGTTACGTAGGAGGCTCATTTATCAGCTGAGAGAGAAAAAACATCAGCTCAAGGACCATCACGAAGAAAATCACGAAAGGAATCCCAGTCAGCTTTAGGGTAGTAGTAGGTGGTGGGATGATAAGGTGAGCCCAAAAAAGAAGTACGAGAAGAAAGATTTATAGAGATCATTGCATAGTCAGAACCACCTAAGAAAGAAAAGGAAGAAACTGAACATAAGCTAGGGTCAGAGACAAGACATAAGTCAAGGAGTAAAGGTAAATGATTAGGGTTGTCAGGAAAACGAGTCACAAAGTTAACTATCTGAGTAAGAGATTGAGAAACGCAGAAGTTAAAAGCTTTAGTGCCAGCAGGATCAGTGGTGTTAGAGCCAAGCCATTCAGTGTGATGGGCATTAAAATCTCCAACAACAACAATATTGGCAGAGGGGTAAAGAGAGAGGACATGGTCAATTTGATCAGAGATAACATCTAAAAGAGTGCAATCATGGGAAGAAGGAAAACGATAAAGAACAAAGAGAAAGGTGATAGAGTGAAGAGGTGCTAAGCGAAAGCACATGAAAGAATGGTCAAAGGATTCGAACCTGATTTCACAACAAATAGGGGAATTAATGCATATGTATACCCCTAAACCTAATATATATGCCTATTGGAGTCTTTACGAATCAAAGAATAGTACCCATCAACACTGACATCTGAAGAAGGAATTGCAATATTTAAATTTGTTTCACTGAGTGCAAGCAAGTCTGGTGAATTTTACAGGAGGTAAGACTGAACTGACGGAAAGTTGCTTCGCAGACTGCGAATATTTGTAAAAGATATATTAAAACATTTAGGTGGTGGGGATGGTTTTTTAGGTTTAAAATATTTGGTTACTTTTGTCATGATTTGGGTTTAATGAGAACTTGACTCATTCATAGATAGAGCACAGCCTCCTAATCAATGAGCTATGCAGTTGTCTCAGTCCTGTTAATTAACCCTAAGCCGTGACCTAGGGCTCCTTATGTGGCCTTGACAATGCACACCAAAAGCATTAACAGGGACACCATCCATGCTCAAAATGGCACTGTTAATACTCTGATATTTTGCAGCTGTTGATGGAATCAGCCTCTCTGAGAGCTACCACCGAGTTTGGCATGCTAATCCTCTCCGTGAGATTGTTTCAAATTGTGTGTCTGGGATAATCAAATCATTTCTTTCTAACTGCTGTATTAAAATCATTCTAGAAGGCCTACAGTCTTATCTATTTCTATTAACTTTTGGGATACCTCAAGGTTTTATCCTTGGTCCTGTTTATCTACATTATTAATCTTCCAGACAACCCTACTATCTAAAGTAGCTCTTTTTTCTGATGGCTCAACTTTTTACTCTTCTCTTTACAAAAAGTCTTCTCTTTTTCTTCTTTTTTTTTATAATTTTCTAGGATATTGTATTTTAAAGTTAAATTTAGTAGTTTAAACAATAAATTTTTGTTTAGCTGTTATGGTAGAATTTTTATTTTTATTTTTTTTAGAGATAGTTTTAAAAAGATTATGAACTCAGAAGGTATTCACTTGCATTGTTTGACATGCTACATCAAGTACTGTTCAAAGTTCTCCAACTGCCCAATTATACAGTGCAAATCTGAGTGTGGTCTTCATTATCATAGTTGTAAACAAAAGGAACATGAATTTGTTTGTACAAAGCAACTTCGCCCATGCATTAATTTTGTTAATGGTTGTCCATTTAAACTAAATAGCATTAGTCTTATGCGTCATTTGGAAGTATGTCCTGCAAGTGTGTTATATTGTGGGTTTAGTTGGAACAGACATCCTTTGTTTTCTAAGGTAAGATTGTGTTTAGTTATAAATTATAATTCATAAAGCTACATAAATAATAACTTTAAACATTAAAAAAAAAATATTTTTAACTAAATTGATAAACAAAGGTTAATAGTATCTTTGTTTCTGGAGTCATTTTAACTTAGGAAATTTATTGAACTGAAAAATAATTAATATCAGTAATATATTTTACAGAAAAATGTGGTTAAATAATCTAATAATTTAATACAACTAAAAAGTTTAATAATTTACGTAAAATTATAAGTTTTTTATGAAAATCTATTAAAAATAATACTAAATTTATTATTATGTTGCTGCTGCTCAGTACACACGAAACACCAGCTACAAAGATTGAGCTTGACCTAGAATAAAATGTAGATCAAAATAAAAAATTAATAAGAATTATATAATACAATGACTTAAATTATTGTAAGTTTTAATTAATTATTGTAAATTATTGTTAATAAATGATCAGGATGATGAAACTAATTATCAAAAATGATGTCTAATAATAAGTATATACAAAATAGTAAGTATACACAAAATGAAAAGTATATATAAATAATAAGTATATACAAAATAAAATCCCAAAACAATTTTTTTAAAAGGGAAATCTAAATGTGAAGATGTTAAAGGCAATTGTAGGTGATTGCAATTCGTTAATGCGATACGGTGAATCTTAATTCAGACCCTAAGTTTATATTTATCATTTTATTTTTAAAAGTGGTTGCTTCTCTTGTGCAATTGTTTGGAAAAAATCAAAAGATTAGTAGACTAATTGTTTATAAAAAGGTTTTATACACATCATTGTTTATAAAAAGGTTTTATACACATCGTTGTTTATAAAAAGGTTTTATACACATCATAGTTAAAAGTAAAGCACTCTGATTATTTATATTTTTAAATTGTTAATATTTCAGTTGATTTTATGAAATTTAATTTTTTTTTTTTAAGTTGGTTTCATATAATTCTTTATTACTTAATTTGAGATTTTATGTTATCTTGATTAAATTTTTTCTTATCAAAAGGTACGTGAAAAATGGCTACCTTTTAAATCATTAAAAACAAACCCTGTTCCAATGGAAGGAGATCTAGATATTGATCTATTAATTCTTGACCAAAAGCAATTGAATTTTGAGTTTAAACAACGAATGAGAAATGGTAATTTTTGTTTACTTATATGACTATAGATAAACTGTAATTAAACTAAATGGAAAACTAAGTTGAATCTGATAAAAGCTTTATCAGATTCAACTTAGATTAAACATCAATACCTAATATTATTAGTTTCTATTGCTCATTAATGCAATATAATACATATATGCATACATTCAAGCAAAATAATTCATTACTGCATATAAATAAATAAATATATATATATATATATATATATATATATATATATATATATATATATATATATATATATATATGCAGTAGTGGTGTAGTGGTAAGAGCGCTCTCTTTGTAAGCAAGAGTTCGACTCCCACCATGTCCCTGGAAGTACCGCGCTCAACTTAATTTCTCTGCGCAGCGGCCTTGCTTGTCAAGGTTCGTGTTTCGAAGTTAAAGAGTTGAGAGAGGGTTGTACCACAATTTACAAAAAAAAAAAAAAAAAAAAAAAAAAAATGAGTAGCCTCCTTGACTGTAGTGGCCCCCTCGGGCCTTGGGGAGGTAAATAATTAAAATATATATATATATATATATATATATATATATATATATATATATATATATATATATATATATATATATATATATATGCAGTAGTGGTGTAGTGGTAAGAGCGCTCTCTTTGTAAGCGAGAGTTCGACTCCCACCATGTCCCTGGAAGTACCGCGCTCAACTTAATTTCTCCGCGCAGCGGCCTTTCTTGTCAAGGTTCGTGTTTCGGAGTTAAAGAGTTGAGAGAGGGTTGTACCACAATTTACAAAAAAAAAAAAAAAAATGAGTAGCCTCCTTGACTGTAGTGGCCCCCTCGGGCCTTGGGGAGGTAAATAATTAAAATATATATATATATATATATATATATATATATATATATATATATATATTTATATATATATATATATAGGGGAGAAAAAAGAGAAAGCTCTCCTAAAACGAACACAATAAAAAATTTGACAAAGCTATAAAAGTTTTTACTGCTTTTAAAAAATGTTTTTCAGGCGTTTTAATAAAAAATGAGTTCAGGCATTATAATAATTATTACTACAATTAAAAATTCTACAATAAAAATGAATAATATATATATATATATATATATATATATATATATATATATTTTTTTTTAATTATCTTCGCTTCCAACAAGGCTGCAAGCAACCACTAATTGATGTTGGAAGTTACTGGAAGAGAAAAGATGAAGATTGTAGAGCAAGATAACGATTGACAGATGACTTAAAAGATTGCAAATTATATGAATCAGGAAAGCAAGATGAAGGAAGCGAATTCCAAAGAACTGATGTTCGAGGAAAAAAACTAGACAAATAAGAGTTTTTGGAGCACTTAGGAACAGTAACAAAAAATGGATGAGACTTAATTGAATGACAAGTAACACGAGAATGAATTTTAGTAGATGGCACATGAGACGCTAGCTCTTTCGAGCAGTGCTCATTATAGTATTTGTAGAAAAGAGAAAGAGAAGCAACATTACGACGATGTGACAGAGGTTGAAGGTTGGCTGCAAGAGCAGGTCCAACTATGTTTACAATGCAATTTTGCACCTTGTCTAAAAGAGAAAGGGCATCATTTGAAGATCCGCCCCAGATATGGCAACAGTATTCCATACAAGGCCGGGTTTGAGATTTATAGAGATAGAGGATAGAATCCAGAGTAAGAAAGTGACGAGCTCGATAAAAAGAAGCAACTTTAGCAGATGCTAATTTTGCAACGGATTTGATATACGGTTTCCAAGAAAGATCAGAAGTAAGAGTTAATCCTAGAAGATGAAGGGTAGGAGACTCATTAAGTACATTACCGCTCATAAATATAGTAAGTTCTAAACTATTGCGATAACGATTGGCCAAAAAAAGTTGAGTTTTATCTGAATTAAAGTTCACCAGCCACTGTGAGCCCCATGCTGTAGCAGAAGTGAGATACTTTTCACACTCAATGATGCCCCCTGCAAGCAATCAGAGGGAGTTGGCTTCTTATCGTGACAAGAATAAATGGTAGTATCATCAGCGAACAATGCCACCTTAGATGTGAGAATATCTGGAAGATCGTTAATGTAAATTAAAAAGAGTATAGGGCCAAGGATTGAACCTTGAGGAACCCCTGAGGTTACAGAATAAGAAGAAGAGTGCTGTCCATCAAGGACAAGTTTTATACTACAATTGGAAAGGAAGGATTCAATAATCTTAAAGATGTTTCCAGATACACCGTAAGAAGAAAGCTTATGGAGAAGACCAGCATGCCAAACTTTATCAAACACTTTAGAAATGTCAAGAGCAATGGCCTTAACCTCTCCACCTTTATCATTTGCGCGATAAAACCTATCGGTTATTACTGATAGCAAATCAGCCGTAGAACGAGAAGATCGAAATCCATATTGATGATTAGAAAGTAGGTTATGAGATTCGAGATGAGAGGTTAAGTTTTTGTTAATTAAAGATTCAAAAACCTTGCTTATGATAGGAAGAAGACTAATGGGACGGTAGTTAGACGAATCGGATCGCTCTCCAGAATTTTAAAAATAGAGATAAAAGATGCTGCTTTCCAGCAGGCTGGAAAACAAGACTCTGATAAGCACTTGTTAAATAGTTTTGAAAGGATAGACGACAGCTCCTGAGAACACTTCTGCAAGACTATAACAGGTATGTTGTCCGGGCCGCAAGCTGTAAAAGAGTCTAAGCGGGAAATCACTTTAGATACAGAGGCTGGCGTGATAGGGATGTCGAGCAATGGATCAACCTGCTTGAGGGGTATATCAGGTAGAACGCAACTAGTGACATCAAGAGATGATATTGATGAAAAGTTCTTGGCAAACAATTCAGCTTTGTCTTTAGGTGAGGTGACAAAGTCTGAACCATACAAAAGAGGTGGAATTACAGACTTGCCCTTATTATTGATACTATTAAAGATTCTGAAATAAAAATGAAATACGAGATTTCATGATCTGAGAATAGGGGGCTTTGGCATTAGACAAAACCTTTTTACAATGGTTCCTAGCAGTAATAAACAGACGTCTGTTTTCTGGAGAATTGTTTTGCTGATAGATATGGAAGTAATGGTTTCGATTGGCAATTGCAGCAGCACAATGTGAGGAAAACCATGGAAGAGTGAGGCTTGATCTGTAATCGTCGAGAGGGAATAAAGGATTCCATGCCAGCCTGAATCCACGAAGTTATGTAAGAAGCACATTTGTCAACAGGGAAACGAAAGATTTCTACCCAGGGGCCATCACGAAGAAAATCACGGAAAGAGTCGCAGTCAGCTTTAAGGTAGTTGTAAGATGTACGATGATAGGGGGATTCTGATGGTAAAGAAGAATGAGATAATAGTTTTAGAGAGACCAAACCATGATCAGAAGCACCTAAGGGCGAGTGTGAAGAAACTGAGCACTGACTAGGATCAGAAACAAGACATAAGTCGAGTAGAGAAGGTAAATGATTCGGGTTGTCTGGAAAACGAGTTGGAAAGTTGACTATTTGAGTTAGGGATTGAGAAAGACAAAAGTTGTGGGCCTTAATGCCTGTAGAGTCACTGACACTAGAGCCAAGCCATTCAGTGTGATGAACATTAAAGTCACCGACAACAACAATATTGGCTGATGGATAAAGAATGAGGGCTTGGTCATTATAATTAGAAATAACATCAAGAAGAGTGCAGTCTTGAGATGAGGGAGAGCGATATAGAACAAAGAGAAAGGTGATAGAGTGAAGTGGTGCTAAACGAAAGCACATAAAAGAGTAGTCTGTGGATTCAAACCTAGTTTCCCGACAAATGGGTGAATTCTTACGAATGTAAATGCCTATGCCAAGCATGTGACTATTAGAGTCTTTACAAATTAAAGGAAGATATTCATATTTAAATTTGTTAAAGAACTTGACTGGAAACATAAATAGTACTCAGTACACTGTCTTATAGCTTAATCAATTGCCTCATTTGCACTAATAAACCCTAAGCCGTAACAAAGGGCTCCAATGTTACCTTGGCAATGCACACCAAAAGTACAAATAGGGACATCGTCCATGCGCAACATGGCACTGTTAGTACTCTGATATTTTTCAGCTGTTGATGGAATCAGCCTCTCTGAGAGCTACCACAGAGTTCGGGAAACCTGACTATCAGCCGGCCTCAGAACCATAAAACTGAGTTTTAGAGCCCTCATTTGGAGATAGTAGAATGAGTTGCCTAGTCATAAAAACAGAGACAAAAGCAAAACCCATGAATCAAGTCAAGAAGGTCCAGCGTTTAACATCCTAAGCTGGAAACAATGTATTAAAAATACATCTGTGCCAGGCTAATTGATAAAGAAGGGGTGCAAGGCTGTTGAACAGATAGAATCTGTTTACTCCTTAAGTCTTTGCCTAGGAGGCCTTCTACAAGACAGCACGCAGATGCATTTAACATCTGCCCAAGATGAGTATTTTTATCAAGACACCATCCCTAGCCTTTACTCAACCAAGAGCCCCAAGGCAGGGGGTGTTTTATGTCGGAGTTTGCATCTCCTAGCCTTTTCCTAAAAAGGCATATCCTACAAGGCAGCAGGACATGAGCAGATTGTACTGGGTTACATGTTACCAGTAGCAGGATAAACCTGATCTGACCATTAATTGTTATATTAAATTATTTTTATTATATTAAATTATTATATTAAATATTATATTATTAATTATTATATTAAATTATTATATTAAATAAAGTAAATAATGTATAAATTATATAATTTATTGCATAAAATAAAAATTATTATGCAATAATATTAATAGATAATTGCATTTAAGTAATTTTATATTTTATCAATATAATTTATAGTGTAATAATTTTATATTTATCAGTTAGTCCAATTCCATCAAAAGCATGTGCATCTTTTGTAATTTTTTTTTTGCAACAACCATGTCTTTTAAAAAGCATTGCATTTTATTATGCAATTAAGTTATATTTTTTTATAAAAATGATATTGTATTTTTTATTTTAGTTACAATGATAATTAC